CCGTCCCCCCCCCAGGTCTGAGCCCCTCTTGGCCCCCTGGGTTTGAGCCCCTTTTGTGCGTCTGAGACTTCCCTGGCCGCTGTGGGTTTGAGCTCCAGGGTGGGCATCACGTCTGGGGACCGACGGTGCCCCGTGGGGACACCACAACCCCCGGGGCTGTCCATCACCCCTGTGGCATTTGGGGACTGTGGTGCCGCTGCGGGCAAGGTGTTTCCCAACCCGGGAAATCACGGCGAGGATGAGCGTGGCAGGGAGGAAGGTCGGGGCAGGCACTGGGAGCGCTGCCCTGAGCTGAGCTGCGGTCTCCCCACCAGCAGTGCCGGGAAGGGGTGACACGGGAGCCACGCACCGAGGGCAGGGCTAAGGACAGGTTCATCCCAGTGTGGGACGAGGTGACCTTGCTTTCCGAAACCGGCTGCGGCCGAAAGCACTTGCTGGCGAGCGGCTTTTCTTCCCTGCACCTTGCAGTTCACATCCAGACCTCCCGGGCTCTCATGGTGATTTCTCTCCTCCTGGGCTTCTTTGGCATCATTGTCAGCGTGGTGGGCATGAAATGCACCAAAGTTGGCGAAGAGGATCCCGTCACCAAGAGCCGCATCGCTGTTGCTGGGGGTGTCCTCTTCGTCCTCTCCGGTAAGGCAGCTCCTGCCCTTGCACCGCTCTGATGCAGAAGACCTCAAACACCTTTTGAAAAGCTGTTTGATGGAGGAAGGGGAGCGGTTTGGTGACGGGCTGGGTGTTGCCGATGTTCAGCGTCTGATGTCTAGTTGAACTTGTCCCTCCTCATTGCAGGGGAGTTGGACGAGATGACCTTTAAAGGTCCCTTCCAACCCCAACCATCCTATGATTGTGTCCAGGTCTGTGCACGTTGGCTGCTGTGTCCTTGTACGCAACACAGGTGACCTACGAGTTCTTCAGAGAGAGCACCGTCCCCATCAACGCCAGGTAAGAGCCCGGCTCGGGCGATGTTCTTTATCTGAATCCCATCTTGTCCCCGCGCTTCCCATAGGACCTTCCCCGGTGGTTTTGGCAACGTGTGGGGTCGTAGGCAGATGTGCCACGCGGCGGCACCAACCCCCCCCCACACCTGCCGTGTTGCAGAAGATCTCCCCGATGCTAAAGTTCTGGTTGGTACCACCGATGACTTTGTGCTGGGACAGAATAAGAGCACTCTCGTGGAGTTTCAGCCCAAGGGAGGATTAAAGAGTGGGGAAACCTCGTAGCTGGATCTGGCCAACGTGAAAGATGGGGATGGCCAGAGAGAAGGACATCCAACATCTGCCTCGACATCACCCGTAGCCTCGTCAGGGCTTCGAGCATCCTTGCGCCCATCTCAGTGTGCAGCTCTGCCTTTTCTGCCCCCCGCTCCCTGATGCTCCCCTCTCTCTCTCTCGCCGCAGGTACGAATTTGGCTCGGCTCTC